TTTGCTCTCTCTAGGTCATCCCTGTGTGTGGAATGTAGGTACGGATTGTTTTGTCTCTGGGAAATGGTGGATACACAACACTGAGTAAGCAGGGGCATAATCTGGCTGTGGAGGCCAAGAGCGGACAACGTGCTTGGGATGAGCTGCTGGAGAATGTGGACAATGAGGATCCTAGGAGGCCACACTGTGTCCTGAGCCTAATCTCTGTCATTCCCTGTGGGGGTGGGGGGGTGGGGGGGGTGGTGGTGGTGCTGGGGCCAGAGGGAAAGGGACAGCTGAACACTTCACAGCCATGCCTCCCCATCCCTGAGATGTCCTGCTATTTCTCCAATGAGGCCAGACTTCTGCCTGCACCCTCCTCACTCCCCTGTTTTGCAGGAAAGGGGAAGGTAAGGGAGGGCTGCCTCCCAAATAAAAAATTACATGCAATAATGACTAAGACTGTAACATACAAACACACACAGGCAGAGGAGTGTGATAGGTCCCAGGAGGTGCGCCTGCCTCTTCCTGTGTCCCTGCACCCACCCCCTCCACACACACCAAGAATCCCTGATGTGGGTCAGTTTTCCCTGTGCTCTTGTGAACCAGGGTGGGCTGACCCCAGCCCCAGCTCTGCTCCGGATGCCTTCAGCACTGCTTTGTTATTTAACAAACAGAATGTAATGTTATTTACTGGGCTAAACGAACCAGGGTCCCACCACCTAAAATGAAGGAAGGGCAGTGGCCAGGTCAGTGGTTTCTGTGAGGAGAGGCGCTTTGGCCACATCTGGGCACCTTCCTTACCAGACATCACCTCCCCTCACCCTCCTCACAAGAGAAGGGGGGCCGACTGGCTGGAAGTGCAGGCATTCTCTGGCCCATGTTTCTCCCAGCGGCTGGGGGTCCTGTGGGGTAAAAGCCTGTGCAGGGCTGCCTCCCACTGCATCCACCTTCTCTCTGTGCAGGCTGGACGGGTCGAAAGTAAGGACACGGATGGGGCAGGAAGCCATGCTAGCTAGTCTCAGCCCCCAGCTCAGTGTTTACAAAGCTGGTCATAAGGGATGTGGCAAATGCTCCTGGGCCCATGTTCCCTCCACTGAGCTCCTGTGCGGGAGGAGGGCTATGTGGTCAGTTCTGGCTTTACAAGATCCCTGGCGTATTACTAACAATAACCCACCTCGAACTTCTAACAGCTCGTGAAGTCTGGGGGGCATTGCCAAATCACCTGGGCGCACTCTTAAAAATCACCAGTTCCCACCCTAACATAACACCAGCATTCTTCACAGAGCTAGAACAAACAATCCTAAAATTTGTATGGCACCAGAAAAGACCCCGAATAGCCAAAGCAATCCTGAAAAAGAACACCAAAGTTGGAGTATCACAATTCCAGACTTCAAGCTGTATTACAAAGCTGTAATCATTAAGACAGTATGGTACTGGCACAAAAACACTTAGCTCAATGGAACAGAATAGAGAATCCAGAAATGGACCCACAAACGTATGGCCAACTAACCTTTGACAAAGCAGGAAAGAATATCCAATGGGAAAAAGAGAGTCTCTTGAGCAAATGGGGTTGGGAAAACAGTGTGGACGTTCCTCAAAAAATTAAAACTAGAACTACCCTACAACCCAGTAATTGCACTACTAGGTATTTATCCAAAGGATAGAAAAATGCTGATTCAAAGGGGCACATGCACCCCAATGTTTATAGCAGCACTATCAACAATAGCCAAAGTATGGAAAGAGCCCAAATGCCCAATGACTGATGAATGGATAAAGAAGATGTGGTATATATATTTAATGGAATATTCCTCAGTAATGAAAAAGAATGAAGTCTTGCCATTTGCAACAACATGGATGGAACTGGAGTGTATTAGCTAAGCAGAATAAGTCAGTTAGAGAAAGACAAATATCATATGATTTTACTCATC